GAGTTGATTGAGCTTCTTGAAAAGATAGTGCTCCAAAATTCTGCTTTTAGTGGGAACTTCAATCTGCAGAATCTGTTGATTCTGACTGCCATCAAGGCTGATCCATCCAGAGTCATGGATTATATTAACAGATTAGACAACTTTGATGGACCTGCAGTTGGATTAATGGCCGTAGAAGCTCAATTGTATGAGGAAGCATTCGCAATCTTCAAGAAATTCAATGCGAATGTTGACGCTGTGAATGTCCTGTTGGATAACATTCAGAGCATTGACCGAGCTGTAGAGTTTGCATTCCGAGTTGAAGAAGATGCTGTTTGGAGCCAGGTGGCCAAGGCCCAACTCCGAGAAGGACTAGTGAGTGATGCAATTGAGTCCTTCATCCGTGCAGATGATGCCACTCAGTTTTTGGATGTCATACGTGCTGCTGAGGATGCAAATGTATATCATGACTTGGTAAGGTACCTTCTGATGGTTAGGCAGAAGACCAAGGAGCCCAAGGTCGACAGTGAACTTATTTATGCATATGCTAAGATTGATCGGCTTGGTGAAATTGAAGAGTTCATTCTTATGCCAAATGTTGCCAATCTCCAAAATGTTGGGGATCGCTTGTTTGATGAAGCCCTATATGAAGCGGCCAAAATCATATTTGCATTCATTTCTAACTGGGCTAAGCTGGCATGCACTCTTGTGAAGCTAAATCAGTTTCAAGGTGCTGTTGATGCTGCTCGAAAAGCTAACAGCTCAAAGACGTGGAAGTTTGTTTGCTTCGCATGCGTTGATGCTGAGGAGTACCGACTAGCTCAGATTTGTGGACTCAACATCATCATCCAGGTAGCATTCTTGTATACTGTACTGTTTATGTTACTTCCCCATTATATCTGCTTTTGTTTACCAAGATGTTTGGCAAAACAGGGGGTGGGTATTCTTTTGATAAGTTGTTGTTAGATGCTTGTAAGTGCTGCAGATTGGTGCTCTAGTCTGTGTTATAGGACGCAATTAATTGGTTGTCCAAATTATACTTTTGATGATTCCTTAATCCTGCATGTTTTATTTTAGGTGGATGATTTGGAAGAGGTCAGTGAATATTACCAGAACAGGGGATGCTTTAATGAGCTCATTAGTCTCATGGAGAGTGGACTAGGATTGGAACGTGCACATATGGGCATTTTTACAGAATTAGGAGTTCTATATGCAAGATACCGTCCTGAGAAGCTTATGGAGCACATTAAACTGTTTTCTACCCGTCTCAATATTCCCAAGCTAATACGAGCTTGTGATGAACAGCAGCACTGGAAAGAATTAACGTATTTATATATCCAATATGATGAGTTCGACAATGCTGCAACCACCATAATGAATCACTCCCCGGAAGCATGGGACCACATGCAATTCAAGGATGTGATAGTCAAAGTTGCAAGTGTTGAACTCTACTACAGGGCTGTGCACTTCTACTTACAAGAACATCCTGATCTTATCAATGATGTTCTTAATGTGATTGCACTTCGTGTTGACCACACCCGAGTGGTGGATATAATGAGAAAGGTTTGGTTCTCTATTAAAATGTCATTAATATTGGTCTCTGCTGTCGCATTTTTCTTCTGGCAGGGTTTGGAAAGAGTTTTGTATTCTTTACATTTTCAATCGTTTTGGTTTTCAGGCTGGTCACGTCCGTCTTGTAAAGCCATACATGGTTGCAGTTCAGAGCAACAATGTAACTGCTGTGAATGAAGCTCTGAACGAAATATACATAGAGGAGGAAGACTATGACAGACTCCGTGAATCAATAGATTTGCACGACAGCTTTGATCAGATAGGTCTTGCTCAAAAGGTGAGTGAGATTGAAGCTTCTCATCCATTGAATGTCTTTGATTGAAACTTGTATTTATTACTTTTTGTTGATGCAAATGAGCAGCTTGAGAAACACGAGCTTCTTGAGATGAGACGTGTTGCTGCATACATTTATAAGAAAGCTGGAAGATGGAAGCAATCCATTGCATTGTCAAAGAAAGACAATCACTACAAAGATTGCATGGAGACATGCTCGCAGTCTGGTGATCATGAACTCTCAGAGGAACTGCTTATCTATTTCATTGAGCAGGTCTGTGTTTTTTATATGCATTAGTTAAACAAAGCTCGTGCATACCAAATAAATCACGGAGTAATCTACACACTCATTTATTCTTTTCCACATCCCAGCCCATGAGGTTAAGGAGGGGTTCACTCCATGCTTCTCTCTCTTTTTCTTTGTAAAGCATTATACTAGATGCAGTTTTGTAATCTTCTTCTGTAATGTGTATGCAGGGAAAGAAAGAGTGCTTTGCGTCATGCCTCTTTGTTTGTTATGATTTAATCCGGCCAGACGTTGCTCTTGAGCTTGCATGGATGAACAATATAATTGATTTTGCCCTACCATATCTCCTGCAGGTAATGTTCTTATTTCTTTTGCCCTTTATCCATTGGTTACCTTTTAATTGCTCCTCACTTACTCGGCCTTCTCTCTCTCTTTCTCTCTCAGTTTATTCGAGAGTACACAGGCAAGGTGGATGAACTTGTTAAGGACAAAATTGAAGCTCAAAACGAGGTGAAAGCCAAAGAGAAAGAGGAGAAGGAATTGGTCGCTCAGCAGGTATTGCTATTTGCTTTATTTTGTGCCATGGAGAGCCTTCTTATACATTTGTCCAACAATGTTTTAATTTTTTTTGCAAGACCGTTGGTTTTAATTTTTTCAACTGTATCTTAATCAGCAGTTCTTATATTATCAGTTACTTTCCAGTTTGCCTTTGATGGTCGGGAAACAAACACATGCACACACAAATAAAACAAGATAAAATAAGTGTGTTTAGATAGTTTCTCTCCTTTGTGCTTGTGGATTGGACCTACCCACCATAAGCACAAGAGTGTTGTCTTAATTTAATGCTCACATTAAACTTGAATTTTAAGGAATATTAGACTTTTGATTTTGTTATTATTAACACCTATTCATTTGTATACTAAAACATAAGAAAATTAAGACAAATAACTTATATTTTTGCATGATCTGCAGAATATGTATGCTCAATTGCTGCCTGCCTTGCCTGCACCACCAGGAATGGGTGGAGGCTATGCTCCACCAATGCCACCAATGGGTGGTATGGGAATGCCTCCAATGCCACCCTTTGGAATGCCGCAAATGGGCCCGTCCTACTGATCTTTGAGGCATTTGAGGTTTTATGAGTGTTCTAACAGCTTCTACAGGGCAAAAGCTAGAATGTCATGGACTCTCCTGTTACGCTGAATGTGATTTGATTTCAAAGTTCACTTCTGTTTTTGGAAATGAAGGGTTGAGCCAAGTATTCTCCCACTTTCTTGCCACCACCACATCTTCGTATGGAGGTTTATGGTCATCTGTTTTAGAATTTTTTTAAATTCATGGTATCAATTGTTTTTGCTTGGTTGCCAAGTCTGAGCTGAGTAGGTGTTGGTTTAGTAATCTTTGTGAGACCTAGGATGGCAACCGAGCTTGCACTTGGTCATGGCTGTAGTTGTGGCCATGCTGCTGCTACATGTATAGGTAATTTTTTGAATTTGTTATTGTTCTTTTTTGGACGTAACTTTGTCTTGTTAGTGTCAAGAAACATTCAGCGGTGAAGTTTTTGTACTAACATGTTGTCCTTGATACTCAAGAAATTTTTGTCCTTTTAATATTGAAGATTCTTTTCCTTAGTGCAATTCAAAAGGCAGTTGATTCTCTCTCTTTTTTTTTTTACCTCCTTGTTAGCTGCAAGAATTCAACCCCAATTCAAAAGGAAACTAAGAAATTGAAGTTAAACTAAGAAAAATAAGTGAGCATTGGCTCATCTTTGTCTAATATATTTTACTAAAAAAACAGTTGAGCTATGTTGAAAGCTTTTATGTACCTTCAAAAACAAAAAGGGTTTTATTGTCGATTAATTTTTGTTATATGACAAGCGATAGTTTAAATTATTGTAATTCAAAGGGCGTGATCACACTACTCTTACCAACATGCTTAACCCACATTTATCAATTTTTTCTTCTCTAATAGATTGACATATCTTATTATCACATTGTTAATTCAAACAACTTCAAGCAGAAATCTACATGACCAACCAACATTTAAGATGCATGGCATAGGTACCAAATTGAAACAATTTCAGAACATTAAGTTACCATTAATATAGAGACCAAACTAAAATATAAATTAAGCTATAGGAACGAAAATGTTCCTTTTTGTTTTTGGACCTTGGGGTGTAGGGTAGGAATTCTTAATCATTGGAGCTACCAGCTTCCACAACAACAAAAATGTATTTTCCACATACACCAACATGACTTCTGCAATCTTCTTTTTCTAAGAATTTGAGAGAATTTGACTTGATATCTAATGAGTGATGAGTAGTTCTAGCATCAGTCACACACTGTCAAAAAAAAATCCCGTATACAATAATTTCTTTATTTTTTCCCTTTAACTTGATTAATCAAATTCTTTCCCAACTCCTATTCTCGATTAGTTGCTTCACTTCACGGCTGTTTATTCCCACAACATAGCAGAAATAGTTTTTTTTTAAAAGCACAACAATACCAAATTAAGGGCTAGTTTGGTATTTCTGGGCTGTGAAAATAATTGTTATCAGATTTGCTATGAGAGAAAGCAGTTTGGTGTTTGGTAAATTTTTTGTTAAAAGTGTTGTTGGTACGGATTCCCATATAATTGAAAAATGATTGCCGCATAATCATTAAACCCAGCGCCTCTTTGAAACTGATTCATGTATAATCAAAAAATGAAAGCACCTTATTAGCTGCTTTCTCTTATAGCTTTCTCTCACAACAATTTTTAACAATAAGTGATTTTCTCATAGTTTACCAAACGGGTTGAGTTTCTCAAATTTTTTTATAAATCACTTATCACTCTAAATAAGCAATACTAAACGGGCACTATGCCTTAATTCTAAATGAGGAAAAATTTATGAGAAAAAAAAAACAATTAAAAAAGAAAGAAGAAGAGACTCGAGTTTAGGGCTTTGGGCCTTGGCGTTCTCTCATTTTGAATCGCGTACGTCTTTGAGTGTAAACCTCACGCTCACGCCCACGCTAAGATCACTCACTCCTACAACCACTATAAAAACCATCTAACCCTGAAATCCTTGATACTTTTGTAGACCAGAGCCCTTCGTCCCCTAATTTTCTCTTTCATTTCTCCTCTCTCTCTCTCTCTCTCTCTCTCTCTCTCTCTCTCTACTATCTACTCCACTTCTGCTCTCTCTCTAAAGATGTCGAGCGCCGATGCCGAGCACAGAGAAGACGAGGAGGCCCCACTCGCCGGCGACGACGAGGACACCGGAGCTCAGGTCGCTCCGATCGTTAGGCTCGAGGAGGTCGCCGTCACCACCGGTGAGGAAGACGAAGACGCCATCCTCGATCTGTACGTTTCTCTTGCTCCGATTCTTTTTTCATCGAATGCTAGGGTTTTTCTGTGATCCGCAAAAACCTAGGGTTTTGTTTGATTTGCGAACTCACTCTCTCTGTTTGTGTGTTCTCTGGTTTGTTCTTAGGAAAGCGAAGCTATACCGATTCGATAAAGACGGTAACCAATGGAAAGAGCGAGGTGCTGGTACTGTCAAGCTTCTTAAGCACAAAAAGACTGGCAAGGTCCGCCTTGTTATGCGACAGTCCAAAACCCTAAAGATCTGCGCCAATCACCTCGGTTAGTCTCTATCATAGTCAGAAATACTAAATACACGTACACTATTTATTCATTGTTATGATTGTTTGGGTTTAGTGTTTTGAATTTTGGAATTTTTTTGTGTGCTTTGTGCTATTGTTCCTTGTAGTTCTACCGAAGATGACAGTTCAGGAGCATGCCGGTAATGAGAAGTCATCTGTTTGGCACGCAACTGATTTTGCTGATGGGGAATTGAAGGAGGAGCTTTTCTGCATTAGATTCGCTTCAATTGAGAGTTAGTTTAATTTATTTGATCCACTTGATCTTTTCATAATCAATTCTTGCATTGAACTTGCCGTTAGATGCTGTCATATACAGTGTACACTTGGTACTTTCTATTACATCTGTTTTATGTAAATATGCAAGTCTGTTGCTATGATTTCATGGACAAACTAGGACATTACTGTACGAGACGACCTCATGCTATTCCTAATTTAATACATTTTTAAATCCTTCTAATTACGTTTGTCCATCAAGAGTTAATAAATTTTCAATCGTACTTGAAGAATTAAATCTAATTGCATTTCATCAGCAAGAAAACTAATGGACCTCTTTTTCATCTCAACCTCTTTTCTAGAATGTAAATTGCATACAATCCTGGACTTACTAATAGAGCCCATACCAACTATCTTGAGCTGATTATCCAGTTTCCATGAAATTTTTTGCAACATGAATCAAAATTTTCTTGTTGAAGCACTAGAACTTCTGAAATGTCTCAGATTGTTGATTTATATGCATACACTTTGTTTTGTTTGGTTGGAGCATACACTTTGTCTTTGTTGATTTTTATGGCATTTGTTTGTAAAATTGGGCTCCGTAGAGTCATCTTAGATTTAAGGATCATGTGATCCATGTGCCGTCTGGATTTATGGTTGAGTTTGAATATTTTGGAATAAGCTTCCTGATTTTTGCATTATGCAGTTGTTGACTGCAGAGAACTGCATTATTGATGCCCATTGTACTCAATCATTTACTGCATTACGTGAACATAAAATTTAAACTTTTACTCAACACAACCTATCATAACCCCATATTTGTATCATTATATTAATTTGAAAGAATGTTGTTGTTATTGATGTTTAGGTTCTAGTGTGTGTTATAATTTTGAAGGCATTTTCTTTCGAACGTGTGAGGTTTAACCCTTTTGCATGAATGTTGGTTTTTTTTCCCTTGTCATATGCGAGGCAAGAGTCTTTTACTGAATTTGCATGGGTTAATCATATATTTAAAGTTCCTTTTTATCCTTATGTTTCTTCGTATATTGTGTAAATCTGTCCAATTCTGTTCTACTTTTTTTTTTCTTAAAAAAAAATTACATATCAATTAAGATCAAAACTTATAGATTCTATTTATGTTTTGTGGATTTATTAGGCTCTAGTGTGTAATTCCTTGCCATTCCATACTTGCATCTTGAACCTGTCTAAGAATTTATACCTTTTGGCTTCCTTGTACTTATGTTGCCCTACTTTTTGAAGAGGGATGACATTTATAGCTTCTGAAGTCAGTGTTGGACCAAATTAAGTCTTATATAATAGGTTAGTTTGAGTTAATACGTCTCTCCTAATTGTACTGGGTCATGGTGAGTTAGGCTTTGTGGAAATTGTTGGATGAAATAATACATTCTGCAAATTGAATTGGGAGTTTCTACAAGTTATTACTTGTTGATACTTCAAGGTCTTAGTTTCTCTTTGCATGTCGCTGCTACCTTTCAAGATTGTTACTGTCAAGATATAGTGAAAATCATAAATTAGCAGGTCTGTTTCACATGGAGTGTTGATTTCAATTATAACACATGAGGTTTTATTATTTTCTTAAGAATATAATAAAACTAGAGTAATAAGGAAATGAATTCCTTTGTTGAGCATTTGTATCGATTTGAATGTGTCATTTTGCTGTATCATTATTTTCTGTTCACTAGATTTTATCATGTTATAACAAAAAAAAAATTCTGGTAGCTGGGATGGAGAGTTTGAGGGATGTCTACCTTCTGAATTTTCTGATTTAAATTTGTCTTTTAACCATGCTGCATTTTCGTTGGTGATTTTGTACACAGCATTATCGATTCAGTTTCATCCTCTGCTAAATGTGTAAACGAACTTTGAAGTACATTGCTTACTTTACAATTCTTAGTCAGGGTATGAAGAATATAGTTGACAGATATGGTTTGATTTATGGCATGGTGCTACTAGGTCAACGCATCATCACAAAGAGCCACATTCAACATTTGGTTGATGTTCTATGTAGGTTATTAAAGTTTGGTTGTTTGTTTGCTGTATCAGATAACAGATTGTTCATGGAAAAGTTTCAAGAAGTTGCTGAATCCTTAAGTACAGAAGAAGAAAATGAAGATGCTACAAAGGCTGCTGGGCTTCTCGAGAATTTGAGTGTTGAAGAGAGAAAGACCAAGGAGAAAGCTGAGGAAGAGGCACCTGCTGCAGCTACGAGTGGTACTGTCAAAGAAGATGCACCTGCTGAGGAGAAAGCAGAGGAGAAAGCAGAGGGGAAGGTACCAGCTGCAGCTGTGGAGGAGAAGAAAGACACATAAAGAGTGAAAGTTGGGGGTTTTTGCTGTGGGTCTGTTCTTGCGTCCAATTGGTGTCGTGTTGGTCATCAAAATTTGGTCAGACTTTTGGGTCATGTTTGAAGGTTGAGGATTGTGTTTTGTTATGAGTTTGGTTTGTTGTCACCAGAGTTTCCCATCCTATTTGATTACTTGGGAGTAAATTACAGGTCAGTGAAAATTACTTGTTATAAAAACAGAGGACCTTTTGTTTGGATATAATTTCTTGATTTGTTTTAGGGTCTCGAATTTCCCATGCTATTTTGGGTCACATATGTTCTGTTTTGGAAGCCAACATGGTTGTGAAGGATATTGTTTACCTGATATCGAAATGTGCCATGTTCAATCTAGCCTCTGTTAACCAATCACAACCTATCATCGGGCCCATTAGGTTGCCCCTTTGCTCAAGTAAATTTCCATAACTAGGGGCCTGTTTGGAAGTGAGCTTTTGCTGAAAGTGTACATTAAATGGTATAGGGTAAAATTTGTAGTTTTATGTCTAGGAATGGGTATTTCACTAATTTTGTATTTATTATATGCATATTGGCATTCCTTTTTTTTTTTAAAATAAAAAAACCCAGGTCTTTTAATGGCTGAGCGCTTATCCAAATGATGCTAGAAGTGCTTATTTAAAAGCAGCTTTGGCCGCAGTGGGTGCATATCCCTTCTCACTCTCTTGTTTAGGGGTGAGAACGGGTGCATGTGATTTCTCTGGTAGGAGGAAATGTTGTCTTAACCCTTGCAAATTGAGAAATCGAAATAAAAGTTTATCTCCTTAACAAGAGTGGTAGGGTGGTCCAACCCTTTGCAAACCGAAATGGAAAATCGGAAACGAAACCGGATGATCAAGATTGGTGCACGTGGGAAAGGGAAAGGTAGTGGGGCTGATGGTGAAAGATGGGTGCCCCTAGAATCCATTGAAGCACAAATGTGGGGGAGCAAATGGCTCAGTTTCTTGTAAGATGCTAGATCAACTTTTTCTCTCGTACGTGGGTCTCCTTTCAAACCAAGTGAAGTGACCAACCAATCTCCAAAGGGCTGTACGTGCATAATTGAATCAATCAAATAGGGTTGGGGAGGGGGGAGGGGATAGACAGAATTAAGAGAGCTATAAATACTTGACGTAGAGAGCATACCTAACATATGCTTGTAGCTCTCTCTCTCTCTCTCTGTCTGTTTTTTCTCTTGTTTTTAGAATTCTAATATTTTCCCACTTCGATCCCATGCAATGTATGTACTGGAAAATCAATAAGAGGACGTACGGTTTGGTCGGAATCCAATAATGCTATGAGAAAGAAACAAGATAGGCATGCAGACTATGAGTAGATAGATAATCTTACTTCTTCTTAGTCATTCATTCATTCATATTTAGCCATTTCTGCCCATAATGCAATGAGATGTTGTATGGCTGGAACCCATTTTGTATTGGCCTTTATATTATGGGAGGAATATGATCCAAGTCGTAGGATTTGGTTGTTATGGTGGACATATCTTAGTTATAGTTCAACTTTATGATTTGCTGCTCTAGGATAATTATGTTATTTCATTTTGTCCACTAATGTAACCTTTGGCTGTGCTTGAAGAGCTGATCATCTTCCAAATATTGGATTTTACTTGTGATGTTGGAGAGAGAGAGAGAGAGAGAGAGAGAGAGAGAGAGATGGTTCGCATCAAATCTCTTTCAGTCTATTTTGATAAGTAACATCATGTCTTGGCATCTTATGCTATTGGGAGATAATGTACATCAATAATGAATATAACTTCCCAATTGGCCCGTTGCATCAATTACCAATTATGAAACCATGTACTAGCTCATGGTGCATCCACGGGTGTTTACTTGTGGCTTGGTTGTGTTGAGAGTATCCACCTTAATTTGATCAGTCAAACTTAGATACAGGGGTGGGGGGTGATAGTGACTGTGACTAACAAAATTTAAATAAGGAAAATCCTTTTAAATTTGCCTGAACTCACATCCTTTTCATGGACTAACAAAATTTAAATTAGGAAAATCGACTTTCCACCTAATCTTAATCTCTACACACAATGACACTCTGAAAGTGATGCCCATCTGCCCATTTGTCAGTCAAATCAAGTGTTTATGCCTTTGACTACAATCAACCTACTTTCACATAATTGTTAATAAAACTGAGATTTAAATATGTAATCCTGATTAGCTTATTTTATTGTGTTTTTCTTTGTTTTGGGTTCTGGGTTTATATTTATGTAATAGAATAAAGATGTTAAGATTAAAATAGAGGAGAAGGGGATAAGTACAATACAAAGTTGGAGGATTGAAAATTACAAAAATCTGAAAGAGAGGTAAAAAGAGCATTGAATGCCTTTTGCAACCTGAGTTTCGAAGCACAACACAGCACTTGCCTTCTCACTTCCTACATTCTCTCTCTCTCTCTCTCTCTCTCTCTCTCTCTCTCTCTCTCTCTCTCCTTATATAAACTCTTTCTCAGCCTTTCTTCACCTTCAGTCTTGTTTTACTCTGTCCATCTCTCTCTCTCTCTCTCTCTCTACCATGAATCCGCCTGAAGAATTAATGGAGCAGGGAATATCTCCACGGGTATTCTTCTCTCTCACCTCATAATTAAGCACTTTGCATTATTTCATGACAGTGTTAACATTTTTCTCAATATTATTAGTTGCTTGGTTTTATGATGTCATTGCTATGTTATTATTAATATTTTTGCATTTTCTTGTGTGCTTAATAGCCTTATGAATGTCATGCATTTTGCAAGGTTTCTTGGACAAAGAGGTTTTAGTGAAATGCTTCTCTTTAAATTTAGTGAGGTTTTGAACGATTTTATGCATATATGAAATGAAATGTGCATCTGGAGCATGCAGCTCCTATGGAACAGGGACATTTGTGTGTGTGTGTGTGAGAGAGAGAGAGAGAGAGAGCAGGGGTTCTTGTTTTTAAAATTGTTATTTCTGGTTTCTGGGTAAATTGGATCCATTTTAACAAAAAATGGGCTCTGAAAAGATAACTAAAGCAGTAATTATTACCGAAGAAGTACATGTTGGTTGGTTTTGCTTCACTAACACAGTGATTTAGAGGCATCTATTTTTCATGTCAAGAATTTGCACAGAGTGTGCATCTTTTATAGTTTTGTCAACAGACTTTATATTTTCTTTGCTTCGAAAGGCGTCTCCTTTTTTTCTCTAGGAAAAGTAGATTGAATGATAGGATTTACCTTAGAATTTAAGCAGCCAGATAAATAAAGATTGAGAACAGAGCATAAAATCTCAATAAAGTAAATTTATTCTTCAATGTAGCTGCTGAACTATGGGTTCATGAACTTTTATTAGCTTTGAGTACTGACAAACCTGCTTAGATCTTTCTAAACCATTGATTTATTGAACTTGTCCATATATGTTTAAAGTTTGTTGTCTTGAATCAGAATATGCAGAAGGTATCCTATACAACTGTGCTCACATTGGCTTATCAAAGTCTGGGAGTGGTTTATGGTGACCTCAGTACATCCCCTCTCTATGTTTACAAGACGACCTTCTCTGGAAAGTTGAGCCTTCATGAGGATGATGAAGAGATTTTTGGCGTGCTTTCCTTTATTTTCTGGACGTTTACTCTCATTGCTCTCTGCAAATATGTTTTCATTGTGATGTTGGCTGATGACAATGGTGAAGGTACAGTTTTGTTGTTTTCATTTGAGTACTAACCGATTGCTAAATAACCGGATTCATCTAATCACTCAAGCTTCCCATCACTGTCTAATGGTTGGTTTCAGCATTGCATATATACAACACCGGTTTCAACACTGAAAAAAAGAAGAAAATGTTCAGCTCAAGCTTCTTGTAATTTTTTGTTTGATCGTTATCTCATCTAGTTTTGCCATAGACCTTTGCAATAGGCTTTTAAGGTATTGATTATAGATTTGGATATGACAGAAAGACAGTTTCTCAATACCAATGTTGTGCATATGGTGCAGGTGGTACCTTTGCCTTGTACTCCCTTCTCTGCCGTCATGCAAGATTAAGCATTCTACCTAATCAAGAAATCACAGATGAGAAATTGTCTGAGTATGTTACAGAAGGAACCACAGATACATGGCAGAGTTCAGCTCTGAAATTATTCTTCAACAAGCACCCAAGATTTCGCAAAGGGCTACTGGTTTTTGTCCTATTTGGAACCTGTATGGCAATTGGTGATGGTGTACTCACTCCTGCAATATCAGGTGGCTAGTGTAATCAAATCCTCTGTGGTGATGTTTATATTCTGACCCGTACAAGTTCCATTACCTGACATTTTCAAATTCTAGGCTAGCTCATCTTAACTTCTCAAGATATTTATGTGGTTGTGAATAAGCATCATATCCTTCAGATTACAGGTATAAATTCTGATATTTTTGTGACATGTTAGACACATAGAAATACACTTTATACATATGTGTCCATGAAAAGAATTTGGGTGAATCTGATTTTTAAATGCTACCTGCATTTAAAACATGTACGTAGCCTATTGTGACAGAGCTAAATAAGTACTATGCTGCACTAGTGTGGCATATACAGTTTGGAGATTTGTTAGGCAGAACGTGTTTGAAAGAGGAAAATGACTATGTGTAACATATATTTATATGATGATTTATTTCCAAACCCCAACAAGTATCTCGTGGTCTTTCGCTATCATATCGAATTTAATTAGAGTCTTTTAGTGCTCAAATTGTCTGTTAATAAGAGACCATAACATAATAGAGATTCTCCTGTATTTCTCCTTTCAGTTCTTTCAGCAGTCTCAGGGATTAAGCTTAAGTTCACAGAACTCCATGACAGTAAGTAGACCAATATGTAGCCTTTTCAACATTCATGCTTCACTATTCACTAAACTTCTGTTTGGTTTCTCTCTTTCTGCCTCTCAGATTATGTTGTCATAATTTCATGTGTCCTCTTAGTGGGGCTTTTCTCCCTTCAGCATCATGGAACACACAGAGTTGCTTTCATGTTTGCTCCGATTGTTACAGCATGGCTTCTGTGTATTAGTGGCATTGGAATATACAACATATTTCATTGGAATCGACGTATATTTCACGCACTTTCTCCAGTTTACATGTTGAAGTTCCTTAGAAGCACAGGCGTTGAAGGATGGGTTTCGTTAGCAGGAGTTGTTCTTTCAATCACAGGTATCTCTTTGAACTCCTGATGCAGTAATTGTGGTTTACTTGCTGCTAAACAGAGCTACTGGAAACTAGTTTCCTCCGGAATATTATCTCAGGTGTAGAGGCGATGTTTGCTAATTTGGGCCACTTCTCTCCGCTTTCAATAAAGGTAACTTTTCAGTCAGTTGTACTTACAGATTCTGA